AGGGGTGATATTTACTATACAACAACTCCAGTTGGTGATAAGGCTGTTCTTTTAACTGTCTCTCCAATAAACAGCATACCAAATCCAAATCTGTTCTTGCTCTAACCCACCTCTCTTGCTTGGTGGTGTTGGGGTTTGCTGGGATGTAGGTGCTTTGCACTGCGCATTAATCAAATCTTGTATTTGTAATCCTGAAGTGTTCCTGTCTATATGGATAGCAAACATTTCTGTGGGTGACAGTCCGAGGACCCCATTTTACCGATTCTCTAGTTTCTGACTAAGGACTGGAGGTGCAGATGTGTGGGTGTCTGAGATGGACACTTGCCATTACTGGGTACAAATATTTCATCTGTGATGTAGAATACCCCCAAGGGTTTTTAGTTAACTGCTTCCTGTGACTGACTGCACACACACACACAGAGGAGTCTGCTGCTATGTTTTTTATGGAAGTCACATTTCAGATTCCCAGTTTAACAAAAACACCCTGCATTGACAGGCTTGTAACAGAGCAAACACTGTTAGTTAAATCACATGCTTGCTTCCTTCCTGCTCTGTTGTTAAACCTTGTAACTCAAAATCCAGTCATCTCATTTCAGGCTTTTCTGAAAGTGAGGAGGGAGATGAGTATACTTTAATTTTGAAAAATGCTATTGCATAGAGCATTTTGTACTTTTCAGTGTTTGAAGACTTCTTTGCTAATGAAGTGCTGGAGAACTGAATGTAATATCTTGCTGTTTTGCTGTGCATCTTCCTCACTCTCCAGAAAGCTTTCATGTGAGGGGTACCACAGCATTGGAGGATACTGTCCTTCCATGTGGTCAAGTCTGAAAGGGACTATTAAAAATGTATTGTTATATTTTGATTCAATTATTGTGTGATAAAGTTAAACAGTGACTTCTGTTCATTGAGGTGCAGGAGGAAGTGAAAGAGATGGACTTTGTCTGGTACTGGAGAATACCTGCTGACCACAGATGGCACAGCTGGTTCCAATGTATTTACTGGAAGAGGGTTTGGTGTTTGATAAGTAGATAAGACGTTGTCTAACCACCTGGAAAGCCCCATGTAGCTTAAAATGATTACTTATTTACTCTGCCCACAAATAAACTCACTGTGTCCCTATAATAGAGAGATGACTGTGATAAATGTAACTATTTTCACTTTGTGGGATTTATAACTCTCATGGGAAATCATTGCTTTTTGTTCCTGCAGGCCTAGATAAGTTTTCTGCAAGTCTAGATAAGGTTAATAGAAAATGCTCCAGTTTAGTATTAGGGCCTCATATAATTGTGTCACTTTTCTGGCACCAGGTATAGTTTGGAAGTTCAAAAAATACTTTAAAACAATTAAAATTTCCTTTAAAATAGTTCTGGGTAAAATAATAATAATAAAAGTAAAAATTGTACTTAAGGACCCAAAAAGCAAGGCAGAAAGAGAAATAAAACTAGTGGACTTCCTGTGGATTTCAGAATTCCCTTCACACTCTTTAAATTGTCTCTTTTTCTTTTTTTTTTTTTTGAAAACATGTCTCAAGCCCAAAACCACACAATCAACAATTCTCCAGTCATCTTTTATAGTGAGGTGGCAGCCAGAGCAGGGTTAAGGTAGTTTAATGTTATCCCTTTCTAATTTAATGACTGTTTATTATCAAATACTCTGTTGTTTAAAACAGAGTCTCAGCTCCAGTCTATATTTTTCTCTCGGAGAGAGTTAACTTTTCAGGGTAAAATTAAGCTCCACTGATTGAGGGGGTTTTTTTGAGTACTTTATATTATAACAGGAAGGAGCAACCCCTGTTGTAATATAACTAAACCCCTCAAACCTCTGCCCTCTCAAAACTGCTAGCAGGTTAGAAAACTGACTCAAATGTTGGGTTTCACCCAGAAAGCTGACTCAGGTGGAATTGCTGTAGGTCAAAGCCTTTGCCAGGATGCCACCTGCATGAACAGTACCAATTAGATGTTAGATCTTGTGTGAATTACTCAACTTCTCATTTGCTGGTGTTAAAATGTAGGTGTTGAGATCGCTATCATTGATACCACTGGTGTGGAAGGTTTTTTGAATATGAAGGCTAGATCTGCAAAATTGAAGTTTACAGCAGCAAATTTTAGATTTTCAACAACCCAAACCCCTGGTTTTCAGAAAAACAGAAATCAAGTTTTTTAAAGCCTAAATTGAATAGTAAAAAAAAAAGTTTTCTCAAAACAGCCAGGAACATTTATTTGTTCCTTGACATTTATTTACATCTGGTCCTCTCCAAAGGATCTTGGAGACAGAGCTACCTAAATGTGAGCTGTACTCTGAGGTCTGAGGTGCATCAAACACATTCATTAATATGTCATTGTGGCTGTTTTATACAAATTTGCTTTGCCATCAAATGACTGTTTTTCAAATAGGTATACTGTAATACAAGGACAAAACACTGCCTATTTCTCAGAAGGTGCAAGGTCTGTAAAGACAAGCACCTCAGATAAGTTAAGCAAGACAATCTAAATGTCAATATTTAAACTCTAGAAAATGTATCTCCATCAAATACACCAGACTCCTTCAGAACATTGAATATGCCAGAGCAATATTGCTCTTTGAAGTGCACCTCTCAGTCTCTACTGTTGGTCAGGTTGGTTCATTGTTCAGAAATCTTTGAATATTCCATGAAGCAGAGGCTGAGATTCAACAGACCATTGCACAGGAAGGAGTGCACGGTCTATATAAACCTCAAATACTTATAATATTTTATGGAGATATATTTTCTAGAGTCTAAATATTGACATTTAGATTATCTTGCTTAACTTATAATAATATCTAATAAAATCTAATCACACATAGTTTTCTTTGCTATGTACATAGTTTTCTTTCTTGTCTCAATGGTTCCAGTAAGCCTTTCTGTCCTTCTGTGAATATTCTCTGTATGCTGTTTCTTTCTTGCACAGGTTACAAATGTGTTGTCTTTACACAACTTTTACTACTCCATAGTTATTATCAGAAGGAAAGGGAAGGATATTTAAACACACACTAAAAAATGCTGGGTTTTTTTTCCAAATGTCATTTGAACATATTGAAAAAATATGGCAATTTACTAAATTAACTATGAATTAATTAAAAACAATTTTTATTTGAATAAATTCTGGAACTTTAGTTTCAGAGTAGCATGTGTAAGTACATAAGCATGTGAAATTCTTCAGCCCTGACAGGACAAAATACCTTCTGGCTGAAGAAATGGTTCATTCAATTTTCAATTTTTTTCTCCATTCTTCTTATCAAGCATTTAACAACGTGCAGACCTAAATAAATGACATAGACAAACATCTGTCCTTAAATAGCAACAATTCCACCTGTTAATAAAATTGTTTTTCTTCCACTACACTGGGCCTTGAGTTCACAACGCAAGGGCTGGGCGAGCAGATGACAGCACATAGAAAGATCCCCATTTATTGAGACTGGGGATTACCATCTGATTTTCTCCTCCTGCTACAAATTGAGTCTTAATAGTAGCGGGGTGTGTGCGTGTGTGCTCAGAACACAGAAAGAACACAACATCATTTCTCTACCTGAGTAGATCTTGCAATGATTTTTAAATTAGTGTTTTAAAATACTCAGTCCCTTTTAGGACGATGTATTTGCCTCTTAATTGCTCTTGTTTTGCAAAGTTGCGTGAGAACAAGTTCTGTGTCTCAGGTCACACTCATCTGGATCTTATTTTCTAATGTTTCTGAGAAACAAATTAGTGAGTGCCTCCTTACTGAATGAATTAATGAGGATTCCCAGTTCATTATACATTTATTGAGGTAATAGCTATGTTTGCTTTGGGTTTCTTAGTGTGGGCAAGGCTCCCAAAAGTGATACTACTGATCTGAGGAGTTCTGTGTGCCATTACAGTGATGCTCCTGCCACTTCACTTGCTATTTGTTTTAGCTGCTTAGCAACTGTAACAGTGGTCCATCAGATTGCCGGTATCTCCGAAGGGTTTTGAAAACTCAGTAGTTTGTACCTGCTGGCCATGCCAGAAACACTTTAGTACCTGCTGGCCTTTCTAGGCCTTTAGAAATAAACAAAATGTTATCTTTCAGTTTCAAAAAGCTTAGCCTGTAGTGCACCTAGTCTATCTTCCAGAGGCATGTTTTGAATTTTAGCGTGTCAGCACAGTGCTATTCCTTTTATTTTAGCTCCTCTATAATCTCTAGAATCAGGTACTTTCTTACCTCTCTCACTCCTTCCCTCTCTTTCTTCCACTCAGCATGGTTTTATTTTTTCTGTCTCCTGGCCCTTAAAAGTATCAATTTCATTGGATTAATTCTTAAACTTTGTATACAATGATAGGTGCTCTTGAACAGACATATATAGATAAGCACACATACAGTGTGAATGTTAGTACATATTAATACAAACTTTTATGCAAGTGAAAACTGAGCATTTTTTATTTGCAGTTTTATTAGTCAAAAATACATTTACTGTACACGAGGACTTAGAATAAATCTTGCGATAGAGGCATAAGACAAAACAAAGAGGGTAACTTATGTTACTTATGTTTTAAATGTTACACGTTTAAAAGGAAAGCTCCCATCCACAGGGGTCAGTCATCCATTAGCCTCTACCCAGATCCCCCTCCTAGGAAGCATGCCCAAAGTGCTTTCTGATGGATCACAGTGCTGTTCTCTCTGCCTGCAGGGAAGCAGCTCCTCAGGCTTGGAGAATATTTTAATGAAACAGCTGAAGAGGGCAGGCAGAAAACACTTTCTACATTTCTTACTTCTCTAGAAGCCCTCTGCCACCTCCCTCCCCAGCCTCCCCGCAGCCGTGGGTTTGCATCCTGGAAGCAGGAGAAGAGAGTACAGCAAGGGCCTGTCCTGCTGCAGTGCATTTCACAGGAAAAGAAGAATGAGACAGACAACAATAATTGCAAAATATCCATGCTCTGAAATCAGGCAAACTGCCAGAGAGCTCTTATGCAAAAAAAAAAAAAAAAAAAAAAGAAAAAGAAAAAGAAAAAAAAAGCTAGAAATTCAGCTCTCCCATGTAAACAGCTTCCTTTCAAAGTCAGAGTCCGGAGCATACAGGCACACATTCATATAAAGCTAGTATTTTCTGCTGTTCCCCAGCAGTCTTTAGACATCAAGTATGTACCACCCATCCAGTGTCAGCATTGTTTCTGTCATAGTCTCCACCAAATAGTGCAATTGGGCACTGTGATAGATCTGTTTGTTTTGAGTAATTAATTAATCTTCCCACGTTCTTTCTTCCCATGCAGGAGGAAAGGAATTGTTATCAGAAGGTAGTGCCTGCCAGAACACAGGGCGCCCTCTGACAAGCAGGACCTCGGCCCCACCAAACATCCCCACGCCCTCAGAACAGAAAACTCAATGTTCTGTATTCTTAAGGCTTGGAACAAGCAAATATTTCATCACAAGCTGTACATTTCTAAATTGATCTGTCTTGCACAACATCACTATGCATTCAGGCAGTTCACTCTAATTACCACATTACAACATTTTGCATCTGCTTCTGTTAAGTCACTGAAGTTCCTAGTATGTTTTCTTGAGTTGTTTTATTTTTAAACAAATTGTTTCTGTGACTGGCTGTCAACAGCTGCACTGTTCATTTTACGCAGTTTGAATACACTAATTTTCTGCAGTGTGTCCTGATACTGCAGCTCAGCTTCAAACCTGAACCCACAGAATTCTTTTGATGGGCTGTTGATTAGGTTTGTGGGTCATCCCTAATTTCAGTTTTTCCCCCAGACTCATAGAATTTGCTCTTGAATAAAAAATAATACAATTTATGCTCTGACAGAAGTATAACAATGGTTAGCAGATCTTTTACAAGGTTTTCCCAGGGTGCCAAAAAGATCTCCAACCTCAGCCAGAAGCAGGCTGGTGCGTGTGGGTGAGATGTTTCACTCTTTGGAGTTAGCTGGTGTCACCCACTGCATCAAGGTGGGGGTTGGTCTTTTTTTCCAGGTAACAAACAGCAGGACAAGAGCAAATGACCTTAACTTGCACCAGGGAAGGTTTAAATGGGATATTGGAAAAAATTTCTTCACTGAAAGGGTTGTCAAGCACTGGAACAGGCTGCCCAGGGAAGTGGTGGAGTGACCATCCCTGGAGGTATTTACAAGATGTGCAGATGTGGCACTTAGGGACATGGTTTAGTGGTGGATTTGGCAATGCTGAGTTAATGGTTGGTTTCAGTGATCTTAGAGATCTTTTCCAACCTTAATGATTTTATTGTAGATTCCATCCCATTTGGAGTAAAATAATGAAAGTTCAAAGAAAACACAGAATAAAAGTACAATACTTTAAAAAGTAAGTTTATTTTTATAGTTCTAAATTAAATGCATTTTCTACGACATATTTCAATAATTTTTAAAAATAAGTCAGTATCCAATGGAAAAACTGTATAGTATATCTCTGAAGAAATATCTGTTGAAAACAATCTACCGCAAAGTTTCTGATGTTCATGTTCATAGATATCGTCCTGGTTTCTTTCTTTCTGTGGTTCATCAGTGCATGTTGTTAACTGTGAATTTGTTAAATTTAGTGGGTTCTTTCCTCTCTAGATTGTACCAATAGTAATTTCAGATGGCACTACATTGCCACAAGCTTGGGCAGACTGGCATTAATGGTGACATGCTGAGACTGGTTGAGGTGCTCAAATTGATGAGGACACCTGTATGGTCCTCCATTCTTCTATTGGTGTTTAAGAACATTCAAGTCACCAATTAAGCAATTAGATACATGTCAGTATTTGTTTAGTCTTATCTTCCTGAAAAAATACCTAGGCAGTATCAGTTTGGACAAAACTCAGAGATTAAATACTCCAAGTGAAAAAGTTGGAAATTTGTATATTTATTGTTCTGTGTGACAGTGTTATTGCTGACAGAAATAGCAGTTGTTCAGCAGCAGCCAGTATCGTTACTGTGCTCTAAGCAGTAAGGCATAAGCAAACCACCAGTGACGTGTATTGCATTTAATAATTTTCAGCTGCAAGCAGGACTCAGACACCTTGATTTTAAGGTTTAGCTTTGGTAAAGCATTATTTTGAGACTGCTAAACAGTAAAGTCATAAGTTGTCATATCGTGGTGGGATTCCACACTTTTCATGACTAGGTGGGTGACAAAGATTGCCCTGTCCCTGACAGGTGGTGTGTCCGGAAGGCTGCAATGGTGCGTGTCCCTCAGGCAGAGAGGGTTAAGCCATGGAGACTGCCACTTTAAACAAAGGCTTGATTCATGTCTTTTCTTCCTTGAAGGGAATGAGAGAAAGAAACGTAAGTAAAATACAGCAAAAGCTGTTGTGAAACAAGCCCGTTGCTGTTCTCTGAAAAACAAGTATGTGAGGATTCATTTTTAGAGGCACACTGAAGCAGCGGGACACCAGGGGGTGGCCGCAGCCACTCTTCCTCCGGGGGCTGTCACTGCCCTCCCAGTGCCAAGGACTAAAATTGTCCGGCTTCTTAGAAGAGGACGTGGTCCTGACTGTGTGCCACAAAAAATGTCTGCTGTGCAAAACCACAAGCTATTTCCCACTCCAAAGCAAAATCTTTAAGAGTAGCTGCTCTTGCAGTAATTGGTGGATGACTGCTGTGCAAAGAAGACTCCTTTCTGTCAGCATATCGAGGCTTGCAGGGTCTGAGGGGTGTCTGCAATCTCAGACAGGTGTTTGTCTGTAAAAATGAACATTTATTTCATGGTCAACTGAAAGGTCAGTTTTCATCCAACAATTAAAAAGTCAAAAAAGCAAACGCATCTATGGAAAACAGCTGATAATAAGTTTCTGTGGCTCTTAGCAGTGTTGACAAATTTTACCACAGACAATGAGTTTTTTGATTCTGGCAGCACTCCTTGACCATCAAGAAAGTAGCTATTACTGAAATTTTTGGCGTTGATTTATTAAGGGATTTTTATTTAGAATTTGGACATTCAGAAGCGTGGGACTGCACTTCTTGAAGCTGGAGGAATGGTAAGAAACTGCAGTGTAGTGCTCTTACCTGCCTACATGTTTGTCAATACATGCATCTTAGCATACAGCTCCAACAGTTTCTTGCAACTGCACCAAAATGTGCTTCTAAATGAAAGTCTGGAAGTAATAATTAAAAATTTCAAATAGCCCTAGGTAAGATCATGAAAAATAATTTGGAACATAGAGAGCTGTGGACTTTATGTTTCATTGTATATGCATATATATATATAGATATATATCATTGAAAGCTGCTAAATGAAATCACACTTCATTAGGCAAGTTCTGTAGGAACACAGAGGAATATATGCCTTCATATTTTGAAAAAATGTGTTTGTGATACTGCTACATCACAACTTTTAAAATTACTTTTATTCTGAAACACATAAACTTTAAATGAGACTTTTCAGAACAGGATTCAACCTTTTAAATCCAATTGCAACATGTTTTATTTGAATACGCATACTGAAACACAAAATGATGACAATAATTATTCCTGGAATGTATTAAAAAGTTGATCCGTACGCATAAATTGAATTATGGCTCTGGCAAAGGTGCAATATAAGCAAACAGACATAGTATAAACACTTAATACTCCTCTAGCATCTACTGCCAAGGTCCTCTAATGATTTTAAATCAGTTCAGACTGTTGCTGTTAGATAGCCTGCCTGTACTCGATTACATATGCACAAAAATAAGATTAAAGAAAATGTCAAGAGGACAAAAGGGATTTCTTGAAAAAGTTAGTGAGGAAGGGCCAGGAGCAAACTTAGTGAAGATGGCACCAGCTGCAGTTTCAAGGACTGACTGTTCAAATTCCTTGAGCAACACAGAGAAACCAGAGGGGAACCCAGCTGCCAAGAAGTCTAAAGGCATTTCAACAGCACATTTGTGAGGAGTAATTTTGCAAAGACTTATAAACTGACCACACTGGGCAGGTTTTCCTGGGATTAGCAAAAGACATGGTCTTGCCATGAAAACTACTGCTCTGCCAGACCTGATGTTCTGCTACAAAGCATAGTTTTCCTCATGGAATAGATGTTATAATGTTCCTTGGATATTAATGTTGTTAAATAACAACAATAACCACAAGGAAACAGCTCTCCAACATGGAAAGTTTCAATATTTGCACAGAACAAAGCTAGCTGCAGTGGAAATCAAGGTGTTAGAATGGCAGGGATGAAGCAACCCAGTAGTAGTAGTCAGTGTTGTGTCCTCCACCCACTGCAGGGACATATGAGTGTGTATGTTTTGTTGCTATGCCAGCTACAAATCAGCGCTGAAAACTCACTGCTCATCTACAACTGTGTGCTTCTAGTAAGTAAAAACAACTAAAAAAACTAATGGAAAGGTCTGTCATAAAGTGGGGTCACTGCTTTGACCCAGATGAATGCTGTGGGGGTGGATGCATTCAAGACTGGGAGACACATCCATCTTGCAGTAATAAGGAACCACCAAAGCCAGTGAGAATGGCCTGGACTGTCAAAGCCTCCTTGCGTCTGTCAAACAAATTGTGCCATTTAAATGAATGTTGATCTTGTTGCAGGACTCAATGACTTGATCAAAAAAAGGGAAATTCCCCCAGACACTAAATAACATGATGGTCAGTTTGTGAAGAACGAGGCAAATGACCTAATACAACTTTTTACCTTCAGTCTGTATGAGGTTTACTAAGAATGGTGGCAGAAAATGTAGGATGCACTGTGATGTTCCTGACCTGAGGAAGAGGCTTCAGTTACATTTTGTCCTATGTCTCTGCAGTCTTTCTCTCTAGGATGTCCTCCATAAACCATGTCCAGAGTGCCAACTGCATGAAGAAGCAGAGGGATCCTTGGAAACCATATACAGATGGACGGAACCAATGACGAAGAAAGAGAGAGAAAGGACAGACAGCCTGTAGGTGATGGAGCATGTGTTCTAAAAATCTAGACTGCCTTAAGCTAAAGCAAACAAAGCAAACTGGGGAAAGTTACAATGGTTTAGATTTTCTAAGTACAGTGATTTTTATTTTATTTTGAAACAATTTTCCCTTAAGGAATGTCCTTTCATTTTAATTTGCAAAAGGCTGACAACTCATCCTATGAAAACTGTTCCCTTTTGCTGGAAAGAATTAATCTTTTTTTTTTTTTTTTGGCTAATCCAAAACATTATTTTCCCCTCTCATATTCATCACCCACCTTTCAGTATAACTTCCTCACCATTTCAGTCCAGTACTTGATGGGTATTTAGAATAAAATTTCTCCAATGGACAGGTTTTCTCATATTTATTCTCTTATTATTTTTGCCAAATAACCTGATCTGATCTGACATAGCAGTTTGTGCTTTGAGAATATAACTTTCTCAAGTGCTCAGATAACATGAAATGGAAATGGTGTCTAACTCAAGCTGCTCAGTGCCAAAACACAGTGGTGGAGGGAGAATAGGCAACTCATAGAGACCAATCCCCTTGTGCTAGTAAGCTGTAGATGTTCAGTTTAAAGTCTTGGTAGAGCATGCACTCCAAGCAGCTCAAAAAGCTTCCCCAGGCCATCAAGAAAACCTGGAGGTCTGTGGTAAAAGACCCAGCAACTTCCTGTGTTATTTGATGAGAACAGGAGAGAGTGAGGGCACCCTGACCAGGACAGTTGAGTCCCTGTCGGGCAGAGCAAGAGGCAGAGACTGCGAAGCGCAGAAAGAGAAGATTTGGTTCAGACTTAGGTAAAATGCTTTGTACCAATAAAGACAATTCAGCCCTGCTACAGATTACTGGGGAGTGAGGATCCCATTCAGTAAACTCCTTAAGAATATCTGTCAAAATGGTATGGTTGCTTCATCTGGAATTGGATGTTCTTCCATGGTCCTGTCCAGATTCTTCTCTGCATTTTTTCTATAGTTCACAAAACATTATTAGCTTTTTTTTCCTCTCCTGCTATGATTTGTCTACAGTACTTCTGAAACAATTTTCCGCTATTTCCTCTGAAAAAGCATTCCCTGAATGTTAAAACTCTAAGCCTCTAACTGGAGAAAAAAAAACAACAGCTGGAATATCTCCTGAGATTGCATCCACAGGAACAGGAAACCCTCAGAAGCTACAGGGGCCATGGGCATCTCCTGAAACTATGGCTTTCGAAGAGTTTAGCTGGATCATGCCTTCACACCTCATCTCTGTAACCATCTCAAATTAGCCTGGGGGCCACTTAATCCATTTCTGGGAGCACATCTGTCCTAGCCATGCTCAAACCTGTCCCACTGTCTACAAACAGATTCTCCAAAATCTTGCATTAATTAGCAATTCTCATAAAGGTGGAAACTTTCTGTGATGCTTGATCCAGGAGTGTGTGTTCGCTGATGGATGTAAGGCCAATGTATGGGGGCCCGTGAGTGCCAATGGCACAGAAGGGACTCCAAGAGGGTGTAGACATCCACATGGTGCTGGAGGTTGGTGCAGGCAGAGCACAGACATCAGCTGCAGCCCGGAGAGAGGCATTACAGTGTTTTGCTCTTCTGACACTAGCAAACTGAATCACTGAGGTAAAGTTTGAGATCCATTTGTGTATTTTGGTGGGAACAGGAAGAGGAGCAAGTAAATAAGACTGGATGTGTTATGGCTAGCTGTCTTTCGTCCTGTTTGATCACTTGAAAAGACAGATGACTGCTTACTTTAGGCTATTAGGCATGTTTGTTACACATAAAGATTCATGGGCTTTGTTATGCTTTTTTTTTTTAAACTTGCTAGAATTATACTGAGTATTAATTAATGGGGAGTGAAAAAAGGGTAAGTATCAAAGCACTAGTTCTCTACACCATGCTAATATAATGCTTCCTTATATTAAATGAAAACACAAACTCACAAAAGAGAAACGTAGATAAATAAAGTGATAATCAATGACAGATTTAAATATAGATACACGCATAAAGAAATAAAATCCCACAACTTTATTATAATTTATTGCCAAAGCAAAAATATTACCAGAGGAGTAGTTTTTCATAGGAGGCAAAAATACTGTGAAGCTGTAACAATATATCATCAACCTTTACACCTTGTTCAGAAGAGGAAAATTTTATTAGATTACAAAAGGCCAAGTAATTATATTCCGTTAATAACTAGAAATGCAGAAAACAACAACTCACTGTGGGCAAATCCTGAGAACTGACTCATCTCAGAACTTGTTCAGAGAAACGATCTAAACTAATTTATTCACAGAAGGTTCATATTGAACATCACACTCAGTAACTAGCAAAATACATTTTTAAATTATGATCACTTATGGCATAGAAAAAGGAAACAGCTGAAAAAAAAAAAGAGGTCATTTTGCACTTAAATATCTTTTGTGTATCTCTCTGTCAGGACCTTTCAGCAAGGGGCAACTTGGTGGGGCAACTGATCCCAGCAGGCATGCAGTCTTCGGGAAATTAGACCAGATGTGTGGAAAGTCCCATCTTAGTGCATCATAGTAGTTACAAATAGGCAAGAACAATTGCTTGTAGGATCCTGGGAGTGCTCTTTGGGTTTCCTGCTATAAACAAGAGGCGGTTAAAGACAAGCCATCTTTAAGCTTTTGTGATGAACTGAAGCACTGAACTGGTTGCTCAGAAGGCTGCAAGAGTTCTCTGGCAGAGGCTGTCGAGATTTGTCTAAACTATGTAACCTGAAAAAGAGCTGTGGAAGCACAGGTTCAGCAGAGCTCCCGAAACCTTATGGGAGGACACTTCGCCCAAAAATGTCAAGGAGAGCAAACATTTTAAGGTCAAAAAAGGGTGTAAACCAAGGTCTTCTATGCTCTTGCTTAATGCTCTGCTCTGTTTATTGACAGGAGAAGGGAGTTGGCTAAAAGGTGGTGGAAATTCCTTTTGTTCTTCTCATTGAGTTTCTGAAAGACCAAATACTTATTCTCTGGACTTTCAGAGGGAAAACCTTCATGTTCTTCTTGAGAAGCAAGGTACACTGGAAATGGGAGCCTTCCTACAACTGAGACATTAGTGTTTAATTCACTCTGGAAAGGGACTGAGGCTTACATGACTCTGAACTTTATTCTGACACCCGTGCCCCTGCAGGATCCCTTAGGTCCTGCTGCCCACCAGAGCCAACAGAACCTTTGATTCACAAATCCTGTGGGACCAAAAGTCAGTGATTCAGTGTTTAGTACTGCAGCATCCAAGGCCTTCACCCTGCAAATTGAGATTGTATCTGATCTTCTTCCACCTACTGCTTTCCTGCAGTGGGTGGGATGGCTCACAAGATCATATCTGAATGGCCCTGTGCAGAGCATGGATTTATGCCATGGAGAGAGAAATATAGAGTGTTAGGAGAACATGTAGGAGAAATATAGAGTGTTAAAAGTTATTTGTCTCAAGCTTCTCTTTTTGCCTTTTCTTACCTGCCTGCTTTAATTTTCAAAATCTAAGGGACCTGCAAATACAAAGACATCCCAGCCCCAGAGGCGGGGGATGTGTGTGAGGTGTGCCTGTACTGTGCAACACTTACAGGCATGAATTCACCCACTTTCTCTTGATTCTGTGGGGGCACATCCAGGCTGCTGACCAGGCGTTGGGGCTGACAAGGCTCATGAGCATGAGCTGCCCCCACCTGCATGAGAAGCAGAGCTGTGCTCAAGTTGCTTTCCTACAAAGCTGCCTGGTGAGACAAGGCATGTTGATGACCAAGACATGCTCACTGCTGTAGGCTTTGGCTTCCTCAACTTGGGAAATACAGGAAAGTCAAGGGAGGAGGGAGTTACTTCACCGCAATGCCTGCAAAGACAGTGATTTGTTTATTTATTCTTCTGTGATCACCCTAGGCAGATGACTAAGGCAGATCTGCAGACTGATGACCTAGAAAGAGTAGAGATAAATTTCATATGTAGGGAAAAGAAAAAATAAGTTAAAAGCCATATACAGACTGTTCCTTTCCCAAGTTCAGTGGTTTACATCAGCCCAAGCCCTGGCCAACACCAGGAATATAGCACAGAGACTTGCTCAGAGGCTTTCTTTTTTCTACCTCTTCCTCCTCTCAGGGTGAGGTAATTGAGGTTATCTACACCTGTGACTTCTGAAATTAGCAGTGCATAAGCTCATTACAGCTCTGGGTCTCTCAGGTGGGAGTGCTAGGGTGGCCTGTTTTTTTTTTTCTTGCTGAAGTTCAAGCTACTGAGATGGAAGTTGCTGGTTTTACTGCACCTTTTCTTTCCCTCAGGTAAGACATTTGTCTTTGCAGTGGTGTGGAAACAATGGAAGTGTCAACTGTAGTAAGTCTTCTCTGGTAGCTAAGGCTGCTGAGATCCTGCTGGGGAGGCAGGAACCTGTGAGGTAGCTGCAGTGACTTCTGAGGAATTGAAGGTAGACTGGAGGGCTGTAGGGGGAAAAGTGTTTCTTGCTGTAGCTTCAGGCCTATTTGTGAAAAACCTTTCTGTGAACAGAAAGCATCAAGCTACAAAGCAAAGTGGGTTGAAACAATCTACTGTAGACTAACTGGTTAAATTGTGACTAATATCAACCTGGTGCTAAGCTAATGCAAATTACTTTAGTATTTTGTTTGATTTTTTTATTGATTTTTGACTGCAGTGATATTCCATGGGAGGCTCTCTGTGGTGCAACTGTTTTGTTTGGGCTGTTGGGCTACTCTCAGCCTGTGATTCCTTGGTGCCGGTGAAGTGTCATACATGTGGCTCTAGCACATAGGTTCTCTGGGTGCCTGTGGAACCTGATGTGCCTCATCCCAGCACCTGCTTGTGGAAACATGTGTCAGGACTCTGCAGAGGGCAGGATTTCTGGTCTGTCTGTGTGTGCAAGCCCATGAGAGGCTGCCATCGTAAATACACTCAAGTATTAAGCCCCGAGCAGCATGTGACCCTAGCACTAGACAAATCTCTTTAGAGTCCTCGGTCATATAATCCTACGCTCAGCATGCAGGGCAAGGTGGGAAAGTTCTCCTCTCCCCATCACATCCGTTTCCAGCTAGCCAGGCAGTATCTAACACGGAGATATTGACCACTGTGTTCAAAGCCCAACACCCTTGTTTGACTCTTTAACGACTGTAGCCATGAATTCCCAAAAGTAGCCCTGCATAGTTAAAAACTCTCATCATGACCAATCTTATGCTCTTTGATTTCCTCATTTTTTTGGGGGGGAATATTTCCTAAAATATGTGACTATTTCCTTGTTTCTGTACCATGATATAGGCTGTAAATGTAGAGGCTAATGCATCTCCCTTATTATACTGTTTGCAACAGGAGAATATTGGCTTCTCTTCCTACCACACTAAACAAGCTAGTCTTCATAATCCATCATCTGGCTTCCTTGGATACCCCACCACAGTCTTTACTCCTTTCCAGTCTTGATTCTACCAGAGGCTCTGTTCTGTGGAGTACCTTAGGCCTTTATTCCACACAAAGTTCATAAACCTTTACAGGGTCAAAATTACTGAAAGGCATATAACATGGTTTCCTCGTGCTTTCTCTCTTCTAATCAGTTTTGGTTTGTAGCTCTCATGGTCTAGCACAGCCTATCCACATTTGCACCATAAATGCTACGGAAAAGACATACTTCACACCCAGTACTTTATTTAAATGCTGAGTTTTACCGGAGCTGGGAAATAGCTTAGGTGAGTGACCTTTCCCTGGAGATGGGTCACATCAGGGCCTCTTTCCTCAATGGACAGGAGAAATCCAGAAGAATGAAGACAAGTGTCCAAGCAATCTTTGCAGGGACTGACAGTGGAAACCCGTGCTAAGCAGTCAAGTTTGATTGAATTAGTTGTTCATGCATGCGGCAAAGTGAAAGTTTGGAGAGCAGAGAACCAGAATGGATGTATTTAGCTGTAAAGAGGATCAAGGAATAAGGTTTGGAGGAGGCAAAAGTAATCACATGAGGTCAATCACTAATGCCTATGGAGTGCTGGAGCAATTGGGTGAGAAGGAGGTGCAAATCAATGTCTTAATTCAGTTGTATCTGTAGTGTCTCTGAGAAGCCTTCTGGGGTATGTGTTTGGTCAAGGGATGCTGTAGGGCTTGCTCTTACTGGAGTAATAAATCCTAGAAAT